AAAAGGAAAATGACACGACGGAAAGTATAACCGTGATATGTGATTTTTTTTACAGAACGCCCCGGCTAACCTGACGATGAGTGTGCTCGGGCCGGTCGCAAACCTTGCTGCAGCTCTTCCCGGCTTACTAGTCCAACACCAACAAAACACACAAGGCAACAAGCAGATACGAAAAACACGCAGCACACGGCAGGCGGTTCTGCCTACTGTTGCCGCTTTGTTGTGGTGCACTGCGTCACCCCCGTCCCTGCGTGCAACGCGACGAAGCGGCCAATGAGACGACAAAAATTCCAAGACAAAGCAGATATACTCTCGTCCTCCCTGTGTAGACGACAGAGATTGCGATGGCTCAGAAGACTCTCCATGTCGACGATAGAGATGGCGCATGCACCCTCGGCTGTGATGTGGGTACCCAGACTGATTCTGCTGCCCCCCCCCCCCCCCCCCTTCGAGGCCCATCAAGCCCCAAAATAACAGGTAGCAGTACGGCCTGCTACGTCAATACTCCAAGCGGGTAGCTGTGGCGGACGGCGGTACTGGCTGCCGAGTGCCTGTGAAGGCCGGTACGGATCCCGCTTGGGACCGAGGTCGCGAGTAGTCCATCGGTACGTCGCGCTTGGAGCGCCAGCAGGCCAGCGTCTGCAGGACGACGAAGGCGGTGATGGCGGCGATGACCAGGAAAAAGTAGAGGGCCCACCAGGTGTCGTCCACTTCCAGGAGGTCGAGACCTCCGAAACACTTTTTTTTTTTTTTGTGTACATATGCCAGAGTCCACAGCGGTGGTAGTCCATAGCAGTAAGTCGTCGTTTTATATTGTCGTCACCATCGCCCATGCAACGGCAGCGTGGCAGAATTAATTGTAATCCACAGCAGCAGTCGTCATCCCACCATCGAGTTTTATTGTCGTCACCGCCATCATTCATGCAACGGTAGCGAGAGGGAGGAGATAGACCAAGGAGAGACGGGGATGATCCGGGTAAGAGCGTACTTGACAGTAATCGCGTCATTAGGTTTTATCGTTACCATCACCCAACCAACAGGCAGTGTGGCACGTGCGATGATATGTCCGAAGGAACACGCACGATGAGTTCCACAACGGGAAGGATCAACCCGGGCGACGGCGAACAACAATCCGTGACTATCACGACAGGCCCTGAGCAAACAGAAGCGAAAGCCGAGAGAGCTATGTAGCTGCTCAAGCCATATGACGAAGACACTTGCCTCCATTCGCGATACTGCTGTATATAAAACGTGGATTCCGACATAGCGCGGCAGCAACAAAAAAAGGTTACAGTTGCTAAAAAAAAAAAGAAGCCATTGATGATCCATGGCCTCAGGCAGCCGAGGGCACCAAACCCCAGACCTAAGCATCAAGAGCGAAACTATTCACCCCGGTCCTCACCAGTACTCCTTCCTCAAAACGCCAGGTTCAGGTTCTTCATGCGAAAATCTTGAAACGCAAGGCCCCCCCGCGCGTCTATAAAGGCACCTACACAGCAGCAGTAGTTTAGCTGCCTTACGTAGAAAATGGAACAAAAAATACCAGCGTTTACAGCAATGAACGACCAAAAAACTGCCTACCTGGAAGACTGCCCAGATGACGGTGATGTACCCCAAGCCCCTGTGCAGTAGAGTCCATGCCTTCCGCACCTTGCTCACCGGAGCCGGTTTCTGCCAGGAAATGAGCACCAACATATGCGGAACACTGAGCGCCAGCTGGCATCACGTGTATCTTACAGTGTACACAGGATTAAACAGACCCAAGGTAAGACCATTGTCCAGCCGATCTTTGTCCCACCCACCCACCGCAAAGATTTTCACCTTATCCCTTTCGACTGCTGCGGTGATATGTCCGACGGGAAATCCGTCTGTCATTGTACGAATATTATCTAAACATACTTGCGGTAAACACAGGTAGGGCCCGCACTAAAGCATCTTTTATCTTGACCGCGGCTCGTTTATTTCTACTGTATCCCCAAGGTGACTACAACATACAGGTTATAATGTAGCCCTCAGAACTAAGCACCAATTTTTCAGTCAAGTTCTTGTATCTTAGAAAAACATTGAAGGCTCAAGGTTCTTTACTCCACTAAGTTCTGCACATGCTCTGCTGTGTGTAGCCTCCAGCTCATGTGTGCCTTGTACAAACAGACACAGCGTCGCGACGTGCATCTTGCTCATTGTTCTCGCAAAAAAAAATACTGCAATTTTCCGACGAAGATGAACCGGGGGGACTATAATAGGACTTGTTCGCCACGCGTGATTTGGTACACGGCACCCTGTCGGGACGTTGGTTTCGGTCGTGATCTGTTGGGGGTGACGCGCCATCATCCCTGGGGGTGACGCACCACGAAACGCGGAAAGCATTTTCTTGGGTTGGTGAATGTTAGTAATATAATAGTAAAAGTAAGGGTTAGGAACGATTCTTCCGCGAAGGAATGACACCCCCCTAAACGGCGCTGTCGGCAGATCCCCCTTTATTCCTCAGGGGGCACGTCATTCACCCATCGGTTCCCCCAAGGGGACTGCATGCGGGCGGGGCGTTGTGACCAGCTAGCTTCAACTGCATTGTCGCAGGCAGCAAGCGTGTTTTGACACAGGAGCACGCGAGCAACTCTCTCGATTTAGCGTCTGCCTGCCCCGTCTCCCCCTCCCTGTGTCTCACCGCCTGGCCATTGGCGTCTTGAACTACAGCCCCCGCCGGGGGTTTGCTCGGCCGGAAGACAGCCGCCACGACTTGCAGCATCACGAAGATCGTCAGGACTAACCCGGCCTTGCCGTGTGCGTTGGAGAAGTGGTCTGGCGAGAGCAAAAAAAAAACAAACGTCCGATAGCGCAGCAGCAGGCGTGTTAATATAATAGTGGATTGCAACGGGTTTGTTTGTTTTCCCGGGAGAATGGAAGGAAGGAGTCCGCGTCGCCGTTGGACCTGTGCGGGTGGGCACCAGGTACAGCAGATTGTATCAGAACGGGACAAAAATGTGCCGACAGCGACGTCTGCAAACGCTTTGGGGGTTGTGGTTGGCCCGTGACCACGAAAAACCTCCGCGTCAGTAGCACCGGTACGGACGTCAGAAGGTACATGCTGCGACCAGACATGATGGGTGCCCGCGTTTGAAACCTTGTGTTAAAGGCACCGCCGTGAGCTCGCGTCAAACAAATGTCACGACAACGCTATGCATATCACAGGGTGGGATGGATCTGGATCTGGATTGTAGACTCAGGCCCAAGCGTTCCGTGGTCAACACAATACAAGCGAGCACGAAGCGGTACTTCAACTATGCATGCATGCGGTTCTAACTCCTCCGATACTCCACTGTCCGGTCAGGCATGCATGGTCAGGCGTGGTTTATCACTCACAGTTACGTTAATTAACGGTTATGATTATGTTTACGACACCGCACGGAGCGTTGAGTGTAAAAAGACCACGGGCACGATGACAACGCCGCCCCCGACAAAAAGCGACGACGCTCACACCGACCTAGGCCGAAGTCTTCCGTAAAGGCTACCGCGCAGAAGAACCCGATGATCACTAGGACGCTACCCAGGCTCTGGAGCAGCCGGTGGGCGGGGAAGCCGATGTCCTTGAAGCTGCTTGAGAAGCGGGCGTACATGATGCCCGCCGGGAAGCAGAGCGTCCAGCCGAGGGCCATGAGCCTTTTCGGGGGGGGGGGGGAATGGACGGTAGTACGGGAGGAACAAACGTACAATAAGTTGGCGTTGTTGCTGTTGCTGCTATTGCTGTTGTTGGTTGTTGTTGTTGTTGTTGTTGTTTGCGCTACTGGTGTCGAGGGGGAAACAGGGAGGGGTGGAGAGCAGTGAAGGAGGGATAAACACACACTCAGTTGATGTCATCGTCATTGCTGGTGGTGTCAGCAGCAGGATGTAGACCGGGAAAACCAACGACCATCGAGCTATCCATGAAAACGGGATGAGTCCACACTACTCCCAGTTAAGTACAAACCAAGAGAAAAAAACGATCGACAAGACATTTTACAATAGCAGCAGCAGTTCCATCGAATAAACCGCATGAAAATACCTGTGTGGTACCACAAGCCGACTTCGCGCGGCTTCCGTACCCGCGAAACCGCAACTCCGTGAGAGATTATAACCATCGAACAAGCCGCAAATCCGTGAGATTGATCCAAACAACACGAAAGGAGAGTGTTTGGTTTGCTCTCACCAGCCGTGCGCGTACTCCGTGCTAGTACCTCCGCCCCCCGCGTCCCCCACCGTACAGGAGTCGAGGGTGAGAGAAATGGCGCCGCGTGTGGAGTGCTGCTGGAAGGTGTTCGACCCGCCCCAGGCGTACAGCCACGCGGTGGGCTCCGACACGCTCAGGATCTGACACGTTATTATATAGAGTCGACAAGGGGATAAAAGGTTGCTGTTGCCATTGACGATTCTCGTGGTTGGAGTCGTGGGAGTTGTTTTATAGCGCTGCGGTTGCTTTCGCCTTCTTCAGATCGAAAACCAACCGGTGTGGATGTCCGCCGTCTCCGAATTCCGTGTTCGATCGAGCGGTATATACTAAATAGAGGGGAACGTCAACCAGAAAAACAGTACTATTTACACCAACATGACAGACACAGCCCAGGAATCAACGGGGAAGGTTATATATCTCAACAACGTCAAAGTTTTCGTTTGGTCGAGAGGCTGCGGGTAAAAGCACACCGTCAGGTTGTGTCATTTTCCTGTCATCGAATACATACTATGCTGTCCTCGACCTCAGAATTGCGGTGCTCTCCGCGAACAATTCGATATTTTGTACACCATATGTACTGTTTGCCTACAGTCTACTCCAGTAAATGGGAAAGTTCCTGTTGCCTTGGAAAGAAACGTAACGTAAGGCAATAAGAGATTGTGATGGTAAAGGTCCCTGGTGCCTTTGAAGGAAATGCAATGTAACGCAAGAGACGGCACGCCGCGCACCTGCTTCCCGTCACCCGACGGCTCCAGGGGTCGGACGAAAGTCAGGGTGGTCACGCCATCGACTTGCGTGATGGTAGCGTCAGAAATTTCCTTCGCGATCAAGAGGAACCACAGACAGTCAACGGCAGGGGAGAGTACCACATCGGATGCGACAGGGAGAGGACGAGAGGGGGGGGAAGACAGATCAGAAAAAGGGGTAGGCAAGGAATGGCCTGCGCATATTGCTTCACTCTTCTGTTGTTGAGACATGTTCGGTACACGCAAGTTTCGCCAGCAAAAAAAAAGACAAAAAGTAGCGCACGAACGCGGGAGGGAATGATCTGGGGGGCTTCGACCGATATTTCCAGTATTCTCCTCGGGACCTCCGCTAGGGGAGCCCGCGTGCAACTACCAAGAGCACCACCGCTTCCGGTCCCGTCAAGACTGACGCCTCTTCATTTGGTCCGCCGTCTTATCAAGCACGCCGTCGATGCCCAACAGAAAACGCAACACACCAGCCCCCCAAGACAACTGCTGTTGTGGCTTTCCTCTCCCGCCGCTCCTAACATAGCGCTATGATAGGCCTGTTAAACATCGAACCCCCTTCGCTACACGTTGGTCCTTCTCACCGCAAACACATGGCCATGCAGCCATCCACTATTGCAACAACAACCAACCTCTACCACAGGCATGACGCGTTGAACGGATGAGGTGTATCCATCCATGCGCAACTACCAACAACCTCAATCACAGGCATGGACGCATTGAGACCCGGTGTTTCTGCATCTCCGCCTCACCTGGTCTGCTGCCTCCTCGGGCGTGCTGTAGCTGTCCATGTCGTATTCCAAAGCAGTGGCCTCATCCGGCAGACCAATCACAGCGTCTGACCCCGGCATTTTACCGGAATCCGAGAAACCGATCGATAGGTACCCCTCCCCCTGGTACACCGCCTTCGGGATGGGGTTTCCAGTCGTGCAGCAACGGCAGCGAGGTATTATTTAGTGCGTGTTTCGTGTATTTTCCTCGCAATCCGGTCGCCCCGGTGGTCTAGAAACCACGAGTCGCAAAGCCGGGAGTTCGAATTCCCGTTAGGGTGAAATTTTTTTACAATTTTGCGGGTGAAAGCGAAAAGGCTGAAAAACTCGTGAGTACCAAACTTGGACGTTAGCATCGTTGACGAGGGAAACGGACGGCTGCACCCTTCTCGCGATAAAAATTAACTTCAGCACGCACCGCAGGAGGATGGTGGGGCACGAAAAAAAAAGAGAGAGAAAAAGAAAAGGCCCGGTGTTTACCCCGTCCTGTGGGACCCTGGATGGTCGTAGTTGTACGAAAAAATACACTGAAAAGTGTGTAGTACACGTCTCACTGGAGTACTGTCGCCAACATAAATACAAACGAGGACGAAAAAAACACACACACACAAGGCCGCGCTGATCGACGGTGTACCGCCGGCGACAAAACGCCAGCCTCCTCAGCTACGGGTAACTGATCCCAATTCGTTGGTGCTTGTGTGCGTGTGTGTGTTTCAACCTTGAAGGCGGAAGCCGAGGTAAGCACGCGCCGCTGCTCTCAAAGTCCACACCATAAGCCGCGCCGCTGCTCTCAAAAAAAGTCCGCACAACTCAAAGTCCACACCCACGTGAAAACAAGAACTCGTGGACAAAACTGCAAAAGTAACATGGGTCTTCAAGAGCGAAAGAAATGGCACCAGGCTACCACCTCCCAAACACCACCGCCCACCTTCACCGACACAGACGTCCCCACCACGCTCCAGAACAGCGCCAGGTCCTCGTGCGGGGCGACCTCGTACTCGAAGTCCGGGTCGGAGCTCGCGCAGTTCTCCGCGGCCGTCTCAGCAGCGGCTGCATCGTCCTCCTCCTCCTCCCCCACTGCCTCAGAGCACAGCAGGTCGCTCACCGTAAAGTCTCCCCTCGCCTCGTGGTACTCGAAGGTGTTCGAGCTCCCGTAGGCCCAGATGAAGGTGGCCTCTTCCCCTTCCTCGGCAGACAGGACGGTCTTGGAGTCGTCGGCGGGGGACAGCGGCCGCGTGAAGACCAGGGTGGTGGTGGAATTCGCCTGGGTCACGCTCGCGCCCGAGATCTCCTGGGTCTCGTGCTCGTTGTCGGAGGAGAGCGCCTGCGCCCCGTGCGGGGCGATTTACGGCGCGGAGTGAGTACGGCGCGGCGCGATTGCGGAGCGTCCATCGTTCGTTTGCGGCAAAAGAAGAAAGAAGCAGAAACGAAGAAACGAGGGCCGGGCGGGGGGAGAGAGAGTCAGCGTGCCAGGACATACATTTGGCGAGCACTTACCTGCCATGATGCGGCTCGGTGCGTTTGCGGCTCAGACTGCCTTCATGCCTACAGTAGTGTATGCGGTAGGCTTTTTTGGCGGGATGGCGTGAAGCTTCCCCCCCCCTCCCCCCCCACCGCCGATGTTATCCAAGGATTGGACTCGTAC